AGAACTGTCATGTCTCTTTATGAATACATAATAAATGTATTTATGCATTTATGTTACACATAAATAGTTACTGAGCCAATAAGACTGTCTGTTCAAATTATTGGCAGTAGTGAAGCTGAAATCAAGGCTCGCATTTAAGTAGCAGGCAATAAATAGCATCCTTTACTAGATGATTGAGGAATATACAATAAAGCCTGTCTAAGTTTGGGTAGGGTTTGGTTGTGACAGAACAGCTAGCTTTGACATTTTATATGCAGCTGTCACATGAAATACTTAATACTGCTTGCTTCTGTCTGAAACTTTCTAAAATAGAGTTAGTTCTCATTTTACTGTATGGAAAACTTACTCGTACTGGGATAAAGGAGGAAATTTTACAAATGCACTCATTAGAAAATCTGGCTGAACTCTGCATTCAGGAGTGCAAAAATGAGTCTCCTTTCGGTGTGGGACATTGAGTAAAGTGTCACTTTCTTACATACTTTGCAAAGATTATTAGGTAAGCTGCAGGAGTTTTTAGCCTGCAGTTAAAGATAAAAAGCCAAACCAAACACAACTGTTTCTAATTTCCATTAAATAAAATAGGAGAATGTATCTTCCAGGAACTCGCTGTTGATGTTGGGTACTCTGTAATAAGTGACTGAATTGTTTTTCTCATATTTATTATGAGTGTTTGTGGTTATGTTACTGAGAGGGCTTTTATGAGAATTCTAGGTATATGGTACACACGAATTCTGTCACCATAGAGAAACACGCATATCTTGACTCCTGAAAAAACTGAGTAGAAAGTGTATTGCAAAATAATGAAGTTTTGATACTCTGACTAGCTGTGATACTAGCCCTGCTTGGTTAGTCAAATGTGGTGAATTTTTAAAGAAAAAGCACTTCACAGAGTTACATGACTTAAATGCTGTAGTAATATCTCTTAGTATCTCCAAAATGCTGTTGAATGCAGGGTTATACACTTTCTTCAAGCTGCTTGAATAAAAATACTAACCCAAGGCAAATTATAGTCATTTCATTAATATATCTAATCTTTAAACTTTTGTCACCTATTTGTGCTTAAGTGCCTAATTAGGTATTTAGAGATTAAGTGTTATTTTGGTTTATAAATGCTTCAGATGTCACAATAACAAATTACTTTTTCACTGGTGTATCTGTTTTCTGTTTATATTAGTATACTGATATTGAACTTCCATGGCAGCTCAGTGTCTGAGAACTATTGCCACTCTATAAATAAACTTGCAAGTTTATAAAAAATAAATCTTTTACTTGGACATTAGCTGAAGGTGTCAGTAAGCAATCCCAGATTGATGTTAACAGGCATACTGTATTCCTTAGCTACTTAATTCTGCAGCACACTAGCTCCTGGTGGTGCTGATGCTCATTCCACTGTGTGCTGGAGGAAGGGAAGTCTAGCCACATCAGTAGCAGTGCTGGGGAGGAGGTGGGACAACTTTTGGCAGCCCATCTTAAATTGGGTTGAGCCTGTCATGAAGCTACATATTTCATTTAACAGGAGGACTATCCCAAATGCATCACTATACACTAGTAAGAGTATAGAAATATTCTGTTATACTGCCATCAAATAATATTTTATGTTGGAAGAAACCTCTAGACGTCATTTGGCTCAACCCTTGGCTCAAAGCCAGGCTAACATCAAAATAGGTAAGGTTGCTCAGAACCTTGTCCAGCTGATTCTTGAAGATCTCCAGTGCTGTTTCTACTTCCTCTATGTACAATTGGTTCCAGTGCTTCACCTCTTCCACAGAGATAGGTTCCCTGCTTCCCCTATGTCTGTGATGCAGCCTGTGCTGCAGCTTCTTGATTGCCTCACATCTTTTTGTTGTGTGCTTCTGAGAAGTTTGTTTCTGTCTTCAGCTGTCTTTAAGTGGGTTTTATGGAGACGACAGCAATTAGACACACCCCTACACACCCACCCCCCCCCACCCACACACCCTGTTTTCCAGGATTAAAAAGCCCAGTTCTGTGTAGCTTCTCCTTGTATTCCATATGCACTAGCCCTGTAATCAACTAAGTGACCTTCTGCTGTATTTTTGCTATTTTATCAGTATCTCATTTACTGGGCACTGACGGGGGGGGAGGAGTACTTGGATACAGGATCATGAATGCTGACTGCTGGGGAATAACAGCTTCTTTTGACTGCAGTTTTGCCAGTGCAGCAGGTAGCTGTTGACCCAGGTCAACCCAAACACCCAACTGCTGCTTGATCACTCTCCTCTTCTTCGGGATAAAGAGAAAGTAGAAGGAAGGCGGGAAGGCTCGTGGATCAAGATAATGGCATTTGAATGGGGAAAGCAAAAGCTTACACACGCAAGCAAAGCAAAAACAGGAATGAATTCCCTGTTTCCCATTGGGAGGCAGATGTTTGGCCACTTCCTGGAAAGCAGAGCCTGAACATGCGTAACGGTTTTGTGAGAAGAATCATAGAATCACTTGGGTTGGAAAAGACCTTTAAGATCATAGAGTCCAACCGTTAACCTAACACTGCCGAGTCCACCACTAAACCATGTCCCTAAGTGCCATGTCTACATGTCTTTTGAGTATCTCCAGGGATGGTGACTCAACCACTTCCCTGTTCCAATGTTTGACTACTTTTTCATGAAGAAATTTTTCCTAATATCCAATCTAAACCTTGTCTGGCACAACTTGAGGCCATTTCCGCTCGTACTTATTACTTGGGAGAAGAGTCAGCCACCCATGTGGCTACAACCCCCTTTCACGTAGTTGTAGAGAGAGATAAGGTCTCTCCTGAGCCGTCATTTCTCCAGGCTAAAGAACCCTGGTTACCTTTGCCACTCCTCGTAAGACTTGTTCTCTAGACCCTTCACAATAACCACACTTACAGAGGTTGTGACAAACAAAGGTTGAGACAAACACCGTAACCACAAATGTCCACCCTTCCTCCTTCTTTCCCAAAGATTTTACTGCTGAGCATGGGAACATGTGGTATGGAATATCCCTTGGTCAACTTGTGTCACTTGTCCTGTCTATGTCCCTTCTCAGCCTCTTGTCTACCCCGAGCCTACTCGCTAGGAATGGGGACAGGGTGGAAAAGAGAAAAAGCCTTGATGCAGTACATGCACTTTCTGCAAGAGCAAAACCACTGCTGTATCATCAGCACTGGTTTAGCCACAAATCCATAGCACAGCACTGTATGGACTGGTGTGAAGAAGGTTAACTCCATCCCAGCCAGACCCAGTGCAGCAGCCCAGTATGTGGTTGACCTTCATTGCTTCCAGGGCTCGCTACTGACTCTTCAGGTTGTTGATCCTCATGGTTGTTTTCTGTGAGGTTGTTCCCTAACCTACGAGTCCCAGGTCTGTATTGTTGCATGGGTTATTCGGTGCCACTTGCAGGACTTGACATTTGTCTCTGTTCACTACCATGAGATTCCTGTCAGCTCAGTCCTGTAGCTTGTTGAGGACCCTCTGAATAGCAGCTCTGTTCTCCAACACGTGAGCACTTCCCTGGCCTCCCAGGCTGATGTAGCCTGTAGACTTACTGTGGATGTGTTCCATCCAGGCTTTCAGGTCATTGATGAAGATGTTAGAACTGTGTTAGCCCAGTATCATCTCCCAAAGATTGCCTCTTCTAACTGCCTTCCACTTGGATTTTAAACTGTTGACCAGAAACCTTTAAGTCTGGCTGTCTAGGCAGATTTTTCAGACAGCCTGAAGTTGATATTTATTCAATTTGGAACAAAGATGCTATGGGAGGTGGCATTGGAAGCCTTGTAAGAGCCAAAATTAATGACAACCATTGGTGTCCTTCCTCCCCAAAACCCATTGTATCCACACAAAAAATTGTCAAGTTAGGCACAGTTTGCACTTTGTAAATCCATGCTGGCAATTCCCAGTCACCTTCTTTTTGTTCATGTGCCTGGAAATCACTTCCAGGAGTATTTGCTGTGTAGTTAGGCTGAGGATCAGGGTAAGGCTGTGAATCCAAGCCTCATAATGCCTTGGATTCCCCTTCTTTCTCTTTTTGAAGATGAATAAATCCAGCCTTTATCGGTGGCTTCCTGTGGTCACAGTGACCTCTAAAGAAGAGAGTTTTCTTAGTTTGTGTTGGAACTGTACAGCTGGTGATCTGTTTGCATTAGAAACGCCTGCAGACTGTGTGAAGACTTGCTTCTGCAAACCCATATTGTGAAAGGAAATGTAAGAGGGAGAATTCAGCACCAGTCACAGACCAACCGGGAGCTTGCTGTCTAAAGGGATTAGATCACAGCTGTGAAAGTTCCTGAATTTTTTCAGAGAAAGAAGCAAGAGTAAAGAAAGTGGAGGTAAAGTAAACCAAGGTTGTTAAGACAGCAAGAACTGCATTTTTTTTTTCCCCGTCTGCTGGCAGACATACTAATTGGTTTTGTAAGCTTTGTATTTTAACATAGCATCCACTTTTTTTTTCTTTTTTTTTTTTTAATTTGTTGAGCATTGAGAATGGTTTCAGCATGTCTGGCAAACCTCATCAATCTGTTCCAACAAAAAGTAGTCTTACTGTGCTGGTTTATTCTTGCAAGAGCCAAAAGATGTTTACAAGGACTAGAACCCTGAAGAGTTTGAAGATGTTCCTTTCTTTGCAACATTGAAGACCATTAATACAGTGTGAAGAACTTAAAAAGGAGGGTTTTGGTTAGGTGTTGATTAAAAAGGCAGAGGAACTGAGCTTCAGACCCCTTTGAAGTTGAACAACTGATCATCTGTTTGCATTAGAAACGCCAGCAGGCTGTGTAAAGATTGTGATCACTTCTGTAAAAAGAAAAGACTTTTTAGAGCCGAGTAATTTGTTCTTGGAGTTTGATTTTGAAACTTCCATCTTGAGACGCTTACGTTTTGATACCAAAAATTAATTTGTGACAAATGTACTTTTAACTATTGAAGGTTATTATGTTGATTAGATATTTCAGGTGTAGAAACTAAATGTATTTTCAAAGATTAATAGAAGTCTGCTCAGTGAATTGTCACACATTTATTTTTCAGGAGCTGGTGAATCAGGGAAAAGCACAATTGTCAAGCAAATGAAGTAAGTATGATAAAAATACTATGATAGAGAAATAATTTTTTTTTTAGATTGAATAGAGAATTTATTTTTTTTCCTTCCATAGGATTATCCATGAAGCTGGTTATTCGGAAGAAGAATGTAAACAGTACAAAGCTGTTGTCTACAGTAACACCATTCAGTCCATTATTGCTATCATTAGAGCAATGGGGAGGTTGAAGATAGACTTTGGTGATCCAACCAGGGCTGTGAGTATTGAAGTACACGCACAGATATACAGCTGAAATACCCATTCATTTTCAATTTTTGTCTATTACTATTTCCTGAAAAAAAAAAAAAATCTGTTGATATCCAAAAATCATCTTTGTAGGGTACAAAGTTTGATTGAAAGCCATTGGTCTTCGCATGGCAAGGTGACCTGCAGAGCAATCAGCACTGGGTTGATTCATAGCAACTGTTTGGTTTAGATACAGTTGTCCAAATTCTATCTAAATTTGGAGCACTAAACATCTGTGTTTAATTTTTTTCGAAAACTCCCTAAAACTATGCAGTCATGTCTCTCTATTTGTATGGATTTGTGGGCTGTTAGATTCTGTAAGTCATTTAAGTTAGACATCTACGTGTTCCTTAAAAAAACCCACAGCTTAAATAAGTAGGCATCTAGCTACTGTCTGCACTTAGGTCATCAGCATAGCAGTGCCTAAAACATTTCCAGCCTCTGAGCTTGATGCTGTTTCATGCTGATTTCCAGTGTGGAGGACTTTATTTTACTCAAAGCAGAGACATGAGCATAGCCCTGCTGCTGGTATTCCATTTTTTCATGATACCATATGGATTAAGAATTTTTCCCAAGAAATAGGAGACTCTTTTTCTAAGCTTTTATGCATCTTTGCCATCTCATTTCATCTAATGTCCTACGTACAGAATTCTGATGAGTCTGTTTACCATTCCACCAATTGAAAGCTGGTCTGCAGAATTGATTCTTACTGTTTCTGCAGTCCTAACCGTGTACTCTTACCTGTGGTGACCCTGATTGCGTCCACATCTGTTCAGAAGGTTAGGTGTTCTGAATTTCTCTGTAATATACTTAGTTTAAGTGGTTTTGCTTGTCATCTGGTTACAGGAATACACTCTGTGCTGCAGTGCTGAAAATGATACCAAAGTTGTTAGTCCGAAGAGCACTGAAACTTAGTTCGGGATGTGTGCTTTTATTTTCTTTCTGTAGAAGTCCATGTCAGAATATGGAACGCTCACCAGTACAGTTTTTGAAGCAGGAACTAGCTGCGTTATGGCTGTCTTGCAGGAAAGATGAACTTTTTTGCTGTTCATGTATTGAAATAAGTATTTAAGGTAGTCAGAAGGATATTTTGTCATAATTAAGTTCTTACCATTGTATTAAGATTGAATTACAGTTTGGGAAGAGAGGAGGGTCTTGAAAAATAAGAAACAGTATGTAAATTCTTCATTCATGGCAGTGTCTTGTGTTCAAGGTCTTACTGATTGCTTAAAAAACAACTTATAAATATTAGAGAGCGTACCTTCAGTGACCTCGTGAAATGCGTTGTGTATGGTTGTCATAAGGAAGACAGGCATTTGTAAGATTACATAAAGTTCATCATAAAGTTGTATCTGACGTCCAAATCTGATTGGCAGTTGTGAATTATTGGTTAATTTTCATTTTGCTTTTCGGTAGTCATTATTTTATGTACATATGTTCATTCTACCTGAAACCTCTTCAATTGTAAATATAACTAGTAAAAGCTTCATTTTCATTGGTTATTCCTCTCTACACTTGTTCTCACGTTTGCTGTCGTCTTCCCTTAAGATCAAATATTTCAAGAGCAGCAACAGTATCTTATGGCATGTTAGGTTCGTATTTATGCAATGGAGTCCTCTCTGGAGTCTGGCAGTTAATGTTGGAAAGACGCAGATGGTAGACTCATGTTGCTAAATACATAGTAAGGGAAAACGGAGGAGGAGTAAATTTAGGTGTTGGCAGCTAAAATGACTAACAAGAAGATTTTGGGGGCTATTTTATATTTGATAGCAATTTGGAGTCATCTGAGTTTCTGTGCCTCAGAGAGCTATATAATGATGAGGCAAACTTTTGATGAGGATAATCTTGAAATAGCTGTCCAACCCTTTGCACTTAGGCAGGTCTTGGTGGTCCAAATTCTTTTTTCAGAGCAACACTGCTATGGAACGTCAGTACTAGAATTTTGCCAATTGTAAAGTCAGAAACGGAAAAAAGAATTCAGAGCTTGTGTTATACATCAGTCTTACTTAAAAAAAAAATAATGTATAGTTACTCCTTGTTTATTAGAGTATAACCTTTTAAATTATATTCTATTTTGTTGTAATTTTGTCATCTTTTTCAGAAAAAAAAAAAGCTCCAAATTGTGTCTCCTTATGGAAACCTTTACATTCAGACTCTTTTCTGTTACTTTCTGACAGTTTTACTCTAAATGGGTTGTTTGTCTGTCATAAGATGAATGGTAAAGCAGTGAGTTGAACATTTTCTTTTTTAAAGCTGTTGAAGCAAGGGAGCACAGATTACACCAGCAGCGTCAGTAATCATCAGTCTCAAGACTGGTGTATCTTCCTTTGTCCTACAGGATGTTTCAGTACTAAAGTAGAAACTGTGTTTTAAGAGACTTTCAGTGTATGTGCTTTAAGGGACTGTGGACTGCTTTCTGAATGTGAGATTTGCTGTGATTAGCTAGAGAGATGGTTAAATTAGTTTATTTACATTTATGAAATCTAGTGCAAAAATAATGACACCTAGAGAGGAAGCTGCCCCATTCCAGTATAGTTAAAGTAGCATTAGTTTGTAATGAAAATAGGACTTGTGGTGTCTGTAGTACTTGCCATCCTTAGGAAAGGGAGTATGTGGGTAATGGAGACCACTTTTTATTTTAATGCTTTGGCTTTAAAAAAGCTGAAATTGATTCCCATGTTCCACCTCCCCTTTCTGCTCCCGCACATTTGGGAGCATGTAGAGATGAGCACTGTTTGAAACAGTAAATTTTGTTATGTTCAAAAGTCGGACCATGTCAGGTGTGAAATGGCATAATCATTCATGACAAATTGACTGTCAGTGTCTAAGTTGTTTCCATCATGTGTCTTAATATATTGGCAGCTCTTCAAGATCTGCTGCTTCTATGAGTTGTAGGTCCCTGGCATTTGCATCCACAAACAGTATTCAAGACCAGAATTGTCATTCAGGTTTCTTTTATGCAGGTGTATTGCTTGAGCTACAGTCTGTGACATCTGACTATCCAACCCTTTGATCTTTACTGCTCTGTCTTCTTTTTATGTAATTATTAGTGCAAACCACTGAATTTTTATTGTCCACAATTTGTCTTGTACATGTACAGTAATCGGTATTCTGTTAATTTGTTTGACAAATGTTCATTTCTAGATTTGTAACTACTTTAGCTTTCAAAAGACTTTTTAAACTGTATATCAGATACCTTTTGTTCATATATATATATATAAATCTCTTCAAGTTTGTCTTGAATTGACTTTGCTTTCAAGCTGTGAATATCAGTATTATTCAATCCATCTGTAAACAGTTTCCCTGTTAGCTGTCATAATCTTTAATTATTTAAGCCTACAGCGGACAATATCTTTAGAACGATCCCTACTTTCTGTGCTTATCCTGAAAATGGTTGTGGGTTTTTTTTTTTTTCACAGCTTATTGTTTAAACAGCAAAGGTGGCAGAACTGGATTTTTCTACAGATTAGCATCTGTATCTTCACTTACTGTTTTGTGAGAATAACCATCTATGATTCTTTTTTAAATCCTTATCTTTCTTGAAATACTTTAAGTTCCCAGCTGATGTGCCTAAGCCTCGCTTCTCTCCTTCCTCCTTTCCAGTATCATTTGTTCTCTTTCTTTCAATTATTGGATAAACAGTACATGCTGTGGGTAGTAGTTACAAGCCACAGGTATGCTGATGTTTCTGACTGGCATACCTTGGCATTAGATCACATACAGCTAATAACTGAGGTCAAGCAGCTACCCACAAGAGAGTACTAATGTGGATCTCTTTTCCTCTAGCCAGCTGCTGTCTTCTTTTTCCAATGCATTACAGGTCTAACATTTTTTTAAGTTTCTTTCCTCAGTCAGAATTGGATGAAGATAGCCACCTAGTCTCTCAAAGGAGACTGGTGGATTGACACCCTGTACTCCATCAGCCTCACTCTCAAAAGCAGTTGTCATATAAAGTCTTAAAATCCAGTACTTGTTCTCTTAAAAAATCTTGATGTTTGCTTGATATCACATTACCAAGAAAACTTGGTCTCTGTAGAATAATTAAGGTGATGGATACTTGTAACTGATTTATCTGGAAAGGTTTTAAGAAGTGTTTTTCCATTTCCTGATGCATGATTTGAGAAGAAATGAGCATTTGTCACTTTCAAAGTTGTTTTTTGAAGCTTGAGTGATTAATGTGTTTTCAGTCAATGAATATACATCTGCATTTCTGAAGGTTCTGGTGTGTATGCTAACCATTCTATTCAGTTTGTGGTATTTGATAAGCAAATAAGGTTAACTTTAGATGAGCACAAAATATGTTACTACTCCCGTTTATAGAAACTTAGTTCAAGTTATAAACAGATCAGAAGAAGCTTTATCAGCTAATGAGAAATTTAGTTTACTTTAGTCTTCTTCTGTTGTTGAAAAATGTGGGAATTAATATCCTATGCAGAACATTAAACCCAAATGTTTTCCTTCACATTTTTTTGTTTGGTTACATTCACATTTACCAGGTTAAGAAAATAACTCATTTGCTGAATATAGTTCTTAGGTGATAATACTTCTGTTGTATTTCTCAATGTTTGTCTCTCCACTTTCTGTTTACATCCTAAAGGATGATGCTCGTCAACTCTTTGTCTTAGCTGGAGCAGCAGAAGAAGGATTTATGACTGCAGAACTTGCTGGAGTTATCAAGAGACTGTGGAAAGACAGTGGAGTCCAAGCTTGTTTCAACAGATCTAGAGAATATCAGCTTAATGACTCTGCTGCCTAGTAAGTGCTATGTGACAAACAAGATTCTCTTTGTCTTCTAAGTAGTAGCTAAAGGAATATAAGGGAAGCCTTATCTTTTGAGGAATTCTGCTCCCATGTAGATGGAAAATCTAGAAGTATCCAGACAAAGATATAGTCTACTTGGGTGAAAATGCTCCAACTAGGCTTCAAGGTTGGAAAGGAAGAGTTGTGGTATAATTACGAATTAGTCATGTTCTCACCAGTTGTTTCTTCCTCTTGAGGAAGACAAAAATTACTTTAATTTATTACAAAAACATGACTTAAGTACCTGTTCAGTATCTGAATATGTCTGGGAAACTTGATTACATGATGTGAATCTGTATTACCAAGGATGGTAATACTACTTCAGTGTTTGTAATAGACTTTCTCCAATGGTTCAACGTTGCTGCATTTTCTTTGTTAATTTATTCTCTCTGTTAGAAATGTGTTGAGCAAATGTAGCAATCAGGATGTATCTTCTATGCTAGGATACTTCATTAAAAAAATAAACTGGTAAGGAATCAAGGGTGTGAGAAATAAGATATGGTGGCAGCAAGCAACGATAAGTCAGTCAAGGAAAAGAGTCCATTGAGGGGGAGGGGGAGGGTGGTGAAGAATGGCATAGCTGTGCTACTGGCCTTATAGGGCAATTTTTAAAAGCTTTAGTCTGAATTAATTTGTAGTGTTTGAAGTTGGTTTTCACTTGCCTTAAAATGAGGTGCTTCTGTTCTTTAGAGTAACTGTAGATAAATAGACAACATGCAGATAAGGAGACTGTGAGAAAACTACAGCTAAACTGTGCTGAAACAACACTGATACTTCCAGCATGATTATTGTTTGCTGAAGTTGTTCTAAGGGTACCGAGGGTAGATGGCAACAAGCTGAGCTCGTGATGCCAGATCTTTTGACTTAAGAGATAGCACTTCAATGAACTTTCTTCAATTTGGAGGATCACTTACTTTCCTATGGTAACATCCTCTGTCCTATTTTATTGTTCTGAATACCTCTGCTTCCATTTTCATGAGAAAACTGTTCTTCTAGCTGTACAGTTGTATCCTTAAAATTGCAAAGTTCTGGTTACTGAAAGAAGAATATAAAGCCTTCCCTATTTACTGTGGGAAAAGCACAAAAAAAAGATTTGTATGGTTTTTAGAAACACTGGGCTTCTTGGCCTGCATTGCAAGAATTTTGGCAATGAATGTATACTGATGTAAAAAATACATGCAATTAGAAATTCTCAAAAGAAAGTTAATTGTTATGTATTAAGTATTTTCTTAAATACATTAATTCTGGCCAAAACACTGAGTTGTTCTTTTCATACCTATTATTAAATCAAGGGTAATTCTGGGCTTTGGTTATAGTTCAAAGTAACTTGCACTTCAGTAGGTTACAAGGATAAATGTGTTCTTCTAGTTAGTGCAAATAACATAGGTGTACATGGAACCATACATTTTTGGGATTTCAGAAGAAGAATTCTTTGTAATGGAGTCAATTGCCTAAGTTTTCTTTCTTCTAGGGTGAGATATCTTTATGTCTCTAAAGCTTATTAAAAAAACCTTGGAAAATTGAAGGGAATAATGTGTCTTGTCTTTTGTCTTATCTTAGAAAGCTATTTTATAAAATAAGTCAAGCACAATACAATGAATGGACCTAGAACTTCTGTAATTCTTTGTAGTTGTCGTGTTACTATTTTGTGAATAACTGAAAGCAGTATTTATTTTTACCTTCAGTTACTTGAATGACTTGGACAGGATAGCACAAACCAGCTACATTCCAACTCAACAGGATGTTCTCAGGACTAGAGTGAAAACTACAGGAATAGTGGAAACACACTTTACTTTCAAAGATCTTCATTTTAAGTATGTAATTTGTGCTGCATGTTCATCTGTCTGTTATGGTTTCTGTAAAGTTCTAGAAGATGGACTTATAATGATGTAATTTAATAAATTTGTCTAACCACAACTTTGATTTCCCCCCTCTACCTCCCTTCCCCTTTTTTTTTTCCTGAAAAAAATTCCTCGTGCTTGGCTCTATTTTCTGAAGGGATGTGGGAGTTGTTGGAACTCCTGTAATAACTCAGAATAAATATGCAGCTATTAAGTAATAAATGCTTTGGTTTTATTGGAAGCTTTTTGTAAAGGTATTTTATATGCAAATTAAATTTCAAAATATTCCATTTTCTGCCATGTTAAATAGCTGTTCTTCCATCAGATTCTTCCCTTTAAATTCAGTTGGGGAGCTGGAGGCTTATAAATGTTTGCTGGTGGTGTATGAAAGAGTAGATGCATTTTCGTGAAGAACTGAATTCAAATATGTGTTGTACTTTAAGGTAGTATTTTTAGCGATGAAGAACGTGACTTATGTTTCCTGTGGTGTGATATTTAAAAAATTATGTTAATAATATGAACATTTTATATCCAAAGACATTCGTGATGAAGGCATAGGATAGTATAAATGTAATAATAATCTACCTCCTGATGATCAGGAAGAATGAGAACAAAACTCAGTAAAACTTCCATTGCATCTGCATTTAGATTGTGCAGAGATTGTTGCCAGCATGTTTATACAATATATTTGTTTAGTATCTTCATGGAAAATATTTTTTTTCATGTAAATGCATAACAAGTACTGTAATATGGATGCTCTGGGGCCATCAGTACTGTGGAAATAATTTTGTTTCCATGTTTTAGAGTTTTAAGTGTACAAAATTCGTGTTAATCCGTAAGATAATAGCTGGTTAAATAGGAATTAATCGCTTGCAAACCTAAGGAGAGTAGTCCTTAGCCAAGCCTCAAGAGAGGCCTTCAGTGTTCTGAGGAGCTATCCAGTTTCTCGGTCACTCTCTAAAGTATCTTGTTCAGTTCCCTATTGTAGATGGGTTTAAATTCTTCCATACTCTGAATGGATTTCTGTGCAGATAGCTACTTCCAGTCTGTACTGATTATTAGGAGTGCTGTAAGGACTATATGCTTACAGTCCTATTAAGTCTATTACCAGGACCATATGATTACACTTTTGTAAAACATGTAACTTTAAGACGGGGCGTTGGAAGTATTTAGCTGTAATGTTGTACATTTAAACACCTGTACAGCAGGTGTTTAAAATTTAGGTGCCTTAGGAGACAGGCTTAATGAGTTACTGGAAAGGCTTGAAGAGGTAGACTATGAAACAACATTGAAAAGAGCCCTTAAGGTGAACTAAAGGCATAAAAGGCTTGATTATACCAAGGTGAAGGTATATAAGCATGACTAGCTGTGCAATATTGTGTACTTCAATTTTTTTCATTATCTTTCCTTTCTTGTTTTGCTGTGTGTGTTTAGATTCTTTGAGTTTGAGCCTCCTTTCAGCCTTCTCTGTAAAGCACTTAGCATGGCTTTGATTATTGATTCATTCTAAAATGCAAATAGCAAGTCATCTTAATCCTGTTTCTATACACTATTTCAGAAGTTCAGGCTGATTATTTGTTACTTTTGTCTTCAATGAACACCTTATTTTGTAGAAATGTTCTTCTGATAATTTATCAAATTCTTAGGGAAATTCAGGTCTTAGTACAAAATTATAAAACATTAGAATTGACAGAAGTAATACCTAAAATTTAAGGTATTAATTATTAAGGTATACAAGTACAAAATATCTTCCTATGAGTATAGCCATCACTAATTATTTGAGAACTAAGTAGGAGTAGGTGACTGACTTGCATTTATATAGGGTGATATCCAGAGACTTCCCCTCAAAGATGTATCTCTGAAGGTAAGGAACATCTCTAAGGAATTCTTTTTTAACTTTTAAATTCGAACAGGAGTAATCTTTAAAATGTTTTAAAAATGGTGTTATTCCATTGTAGAACATTAAATGGGCAATGAGCATTGCCACTTGCACGGAAGTATACCCAGTAGAAGACCTTGTTAGAGGTTATGAAGTTTCTGACAGTTTTTGATCAAAGAGAGAAGGATCTTTGTTTTTCTTCTAATTTGTTTCCTTCTCTACTTATTTTTAGTGTGTTTTTTTTAAATAAAAATCTAGCAACTCAGAACACTTGAAGACTTCTAAAAATAACAACTGTGATTGAATCCCTTCAAGTGCAATTTACCTAGTCATGCAGTACACTAACATTAAATCGGCAGGGTTTTTTGCCTACCTGCCCCCCTGCAACCTTACAGCCCAGGGAATACAGGAAAAGGCGGTAATAAAAAAACACAGATTAGTTTTAATAAATGTGTAATATGTGAGACTTGCCAGATATGTATCATATTTTTTAAGCACCCTGCCTCAAAAAATATTTGTCAAATTCAAAATGTTTCACAGTGCTGGGGACTGGAACAAACAATTTGTATAATCTTAAAAAAAGAAGTGAAAACAATAATAATAAATATCTGGTCTCCTTTTGGCCCATATCACATTTTATGTGGATACTGGAATCATCTGCTTTGCTTAAATAGTCTGAAAGAAGCATAGCAAAGCTGGCAACACTAGCTTTCAAAAACATATTATGCTAATGAAAGGACTTTGCACAAGTCCTTAAATTTGCACAATTGCAGAGAAACCATTCCCAAAACTGCCCATTTAATATAGCTCATTAACATAGCTAGTAGGGTGGTGACTGGAGGAGTGTCTTTAATGCTTTACATTTAGTTCAGTGAAGTAATTTGTCTTAACCCGGCATAGTCATCTTTTAATCTCATTGGAGATGTCTGTTTTCTTTAAATAAAGGAAAGTCATTTAAGGCATTTCTCTAATACCTTAATTCTTTAGATAAGGGGGTAGATTCAGCTGTTACGAACTTCAGTTCTTTCAGCACTGCCTTGTATTTCTTTTTAGTTCATTGTAGACTCTGACTTGCAAAAGCAAAATATGGTTCTTTTGAGCAGTCAAACCATGGGCAGTGCTATGAATTTTGGTACCTCAGGCAAGTGCTTAAAAGGTGGGCTTGCACACAGCCCTGTGTGTGCACCCTCCCATGTTGGAAGGTGGAATCTGTAAGTCATTCTTTCAAAACTTTTAAAAAATTTATCTGCAGATTAAGCAGCTTCTATGAGTGTTTCAGTCTTTTGGGACTGTGACCTAACAGGCCTCAGTAGGACTTCTAACAGGGCAGATGGAAAGCTTGTGAACTTTTAAGACCACTGTCCAGAATGGCTAGTTTTTCTGAAAGGTACTTGCAGCCTTACTGTTTTTTAAGAATTTTCGGTGCCAAGTAGTTGGGTGTTTTTCCTGTGTGCCTGTATTTCTCTGTACTGATATCATATGGAGAAGCTTCATTACATAAAACAGGTTCTTACTACTTGCTGTTGAGGTGTTCACTGTGGTGCCAAAACTTCATCCAGCACTAGATTTTATATAAAAATTTCAAAGATGAGTGCAAAAAGATGGTTTGCGTAACAAACTGGAAGTTTGTTAGGTGTACTAACAACCTCCAAAAAAGACAAGCGTCACTGGTGAAATACACCACTGGCCAAGAGGCTATTCTGATCTGAAGCAAACATTTCTGGCTAAAATCAATGTGTGCGAATAAAACTGGAAATTACCCTTCTCCTATGTTCTAGAAGTTACCGTCTGCTGCATTTTCCCTCCCTTCCCAGGATACATGCTGACAGCATAACCTGAACAAGCCAAAATCATACAATGCCTCTTGTGCAGACATATTTTCTTTACATATTTTTGCTATTCTTTGAAAGAACTTTTTACTACAGTTTTTTTATTAATATGGGAAATTGTGCCATGTTTCTTACACCTCTCGGTTACCGTCTTAGGAGTATTTAATATTTTTGCTTTGGGCAGTGCCTTAAGATATTACTGAACTAGCTGAGATCTATGCATATTGATCTGTATTCAATTATTACAGTACTGCCATCAGTATAAGCATTTAATTTCTCAGGTTCCTTAGAAGCTGGTGTCCACAAAGAAAAAGGAACCATTTTCTTGATTAGTTTCTCAGTATTCTGTTCCGTCTTAAAGAATGAGATTTGTTGTTCAATCCTACATGCCGTACTGTTTACCAGAAGCCCTCCATGTGGTAGCCTTATTACTAATATAATTCTGAATGATTTTGGGCCATGCTGGAATATCTTTACAAAGATTATAACTATGTATCTTAACAATTGTTGTTCTGGTCTGGATTTCTCTTCCTGCTTGTCTGATGTGTTTACTCAAAGAAGGTTTTCATGATAGAGCTGTCCATTCTGCTGCTTACAGCAAAGAGGATGGAGATGTAGGAACCGGTCTGTCCCCTGTTCTTTCTCTTCTGTCTGCCTCCTCCCATTTGAACATTTTTATACCTAAGCTTTTTTTCTTGACAATGTAAAAAAAGTTAAAATTACTTGAGAAAACTCCTAAAGGCAAAACTCGGGCCTCTCTTTAAAGGAATAATTGCATTTGCTTGTAAGTAGGAGGAAAAAATAAATTTTTGCATGATAGAATATTGACTAACATAGGGAAGTAAGGTGAGACGCATTTGCTTTGTTCTGAAGCCGTAAGCCATCACAAGAATTTCAGGCAACAGATTTCTTTTTCTGTGATAGGAGGGAGACAGATGGAAAAAGTCTGTGTTCTCTCTCTGAGAAGATCCTACGATGTGTATCTCGCTTAATTTCAGGATACCACTGTCTGCTGCTTTTTTTTGGGGGGGTGGGGTCCCATCCCTCCCACTCCATGATTCACAGTTCATTACATCTGGATGTTGTTTATCTGGCTTGCAAAATACTTGAAGTTCCTAATGATGTCTGATGAAAGTTGTGTGTTTCAGAGTGGCTGTAGCCCATAATAGTTAGTAAATGGCCATTTGAAGCATTTAGCAGAGAAAAGCAAATCCATTCATCTCCTGCTAATTTGCTAATCCTCTGCTGTCAAGTTCTGGCATGTGGTCTTTTCCTATTGCTGTATTTCTGCTAAGCTACGAATTCAAAAGAAACAAGACTCACTTTTATAGCTCAGTTTTTCCCACTTAACTACATTTCCAAAAAATGCATTTATTAGAGGGAAAATTATTATGTAATGCTTATTATTTTGTCGTTTAAAAGAATTGTGAAAATAATTTTCACATCTCTTAAAAAAATATCCCGTTTAAATGTGGACAGCTGAAAAATAGATCAAGTTGTAATTTGGTTTAGGAGAGAAAGGAGCTGAAACTCGCCAGGATTTAAAGATTACAGATGAAATTCGAAAAGGTGAAAATTAGATCTTATCTATTTATATTCAGAATACTAAACCAACAATAATAGTCAGTGTTATTTGTATCCAGTTTCTTTAGTATTGCATTATTTCCAAGTATTAAAACAGGTATCATTCTGCCCCTAAAGAATTTTACATTGTTGATCAATACCTTTTATTATTTTAGACTTTTTATTCATTTGGACTAAAGGTTAAATAAAACTTCAATCTAGTTTACATTTAGTAAAGCTTACTCCATGTATTTTTGTTGTTTATAGATTGCAATTAACTTTTTTTTAATGAAATACAGTATTGTAAACAATTAGTTTTGTTTAGTTTTCATCTCACACTTACCATACTTTGTAAAATGTTGTATAGGAAGGCTTTTAAGGCTGTCCTAAAATCGGAGTTTTATCCTGAAACATGAAATAGCATTAAGTGTTGCAGATTTTTATGCCTTTTTAAAAATTTTGTGGTCGGACTTACACAGCTGATACTTTTGGATTTTATTGGTTAACATTCAGAAAGCTAGAAATTCCAAAGTTCATTCCCTGCTTTGCACTTCTGTTTTGCAGAATGTTTGATGTTGGAGGCCAAAGATCAGAGCGGAAGAAGTGGATTCATTGTTTTGAGGGTGTTACAGCAATTATTTTTTGTGTGGCATTAAGTGATTATGACTTGGTCTTGGCTGAAGATGAGGAAATGGCAAGTACCTTAATGTTGAAGAAGGGAGTAGTTGTTGGATAGAAACTAAATGAGTTTGACAGGAAAGCTGTAAATACATCTCCTAGAGTATTACTGCTTTGTAAGATGTAAGAGTTTTGTGTAAAAGGTCTCGGAGAAATGGTGATAGAATTCATGCTTGCAGGTTGCCAAGTATTTCCTCATATTCTCAGAAGGAATACCGTGAGACAAGGATTCTTTTCAGCTACAATTTTTCATGTTTTAAGGGACACATAAACTAATGAAGGCAGCTTTGTCAGCAGTACACATTTTAGTCTCTGTATGGGTGCTAGAAGTATATAGTAAGAAATTGCGTATCTGTTTCTACTTTACCACATGTTTGTTTTCCTTTCCTTCCTCAGTCTTCAGTTTTTGTTTCTTTCTACATATATTTCTGTGATCTCTTTCCTTGGTTGCAGAAATTTTTCTTTTCCTTCTTCCATCCAACACCCTCCACTCCTTTTTCCTCTTTCAAGGTATGACTCCTCCCATATCAGTGTGCACAAGAGTACATGCTTTTTACTATCTAAAGTGATGCTTATCTATTGTCTGCGAATTATTTACAGACTTCTGTGCTCTTCCTCATGTTCTGCAACTTCTTATATAGTTTGGGGAGGAAAGAGAAATAAAAAAACCTTTCAAGTCAAATGTGGTCAAAGAAGATCATAGCTAGCATCCTGCTACTTAAATGACTGGAGCTTGGCCAAAGTTCTTACATATTGGCTAAGTTTTCTATAGAGTTAAAAATTAGGATGAGAGGAAAAAAACCTGCTCACTTGATTTTCTAGTTCTATAGAACTTTTTTTTTTTCTTACGTTCAGCTAGGTGCAGAATTTAATTTTCAATTTCCAGATGATCTAGTCTGTATAAGACAAATTCAGGTAACTCAGCAACTCTTCTGGAATATCTGTACTGCAAAATGTCAAAACACACCAAAAAATTTCTAAAATATTAAATGGCTTAAACATGGAAATGAGAAAAAAAAAAATAGTAGTTGCTTAAACCCTACTCATGGAGGTGTTCTTTGTAGTGGTCTTGGCCTCTGTATTTCGCTGTGGTAAAATGTGATTCTGTATGCTAGAAACTTAGTTTTGTAACTTACCTGGTTCATTTGTAACTAATTAAAAATATGTATTCTGATTTTACCGTTGAAGTCTGATAAAATACAACAAGGTGGTGTTGTTTTTTTCAATTACAGAATCGCATGCATGAAAGCATGAAATTGTTTGACAGTATCTGCAACAATAAATGGTTCACAGACACTTCTATTATTCTCTTCCTGAACAAGAAAGATCTTTTTGAAGAAAAAATCAAAAGGAGTCCTCTCACTATTTGCTACCCTGAATACGCAGGTATTGGAAGAGGGGGGCAGTTGTCAAGTAGTTTTTGGTTAAATTACTTCATTATGGGAGCGGTGTCTTATGGATCACAAATAGTGCAAATTCAGATTCATCTTTTTAACCAGGTGAAATAGTGCTGGGTCCACTGATAGCATTTACACGTTACTGCTGCAGCTCTTTTCAGTGTTATTTATTTAGCCCATTCCTTTTCTGCTGACCTCCTATTTTTGTACTTAGATGTAATTTTTTTCACTAGCAGGAATCCCCGAGCATACATGAGGGTTTATTTGAACAGGGAGTGTACATACATATTAGAAGTAGGTGGCTTATTCAGGAAATACATAGCAAAAGAGGATGATTTCCTTTAACAAGTCTTAGCCTTTTTATGTATCATTTTCATTGTAACCTCACTATTCCATTGTACAGAAAATAGCACGTTAAAATCTTAGGGAAATACCTATCTTGAATATCTTTGAGAAAAACCCAAACCTTTTAAAAAATGTAACAATTGAAAGCAAATAACTTGAATGAAGGAAACAAAATAGCCAAATATAGGGAACAGTGTTGGATCATTAATCACGTGCTCTGTCTGCCACTGAAGTAAATGGAAAGACTCTCCCTGCAGCTGAAATTAAATTGAGTCCTTAGTTTTTAGTCTTAAAAACCTCAAAAGGTTTCCTTCAAAATTGATTTATGGTATCTTAAAGCAACGGCTGTGGAATTACTCCTCTTGAGCTTTAGGTTAACTATTTCCAGAGAACCACTTCTGTCAAAGATACGCCATGCATCTTGGTCGTTCTCAGTTTGCAGCCTGCTAACTGAGCAATTTTCTCTTTCTAGGATCAAACACTTACGAAGAAGCAGCTGCTTACATTCAATGTCAGTTTGAAGATCTGAACAAGAGAAAAGACACGAAGGAAATCTACACTCACTTCACATGTGCCACAGACACGAAAAATGTGCAGTTTGTTTTCGATGCTGTAACTGATGTCATTATTAAAAATAACCTTAAAGACTGTGGCCTCTTCTGAGAACAGACAAAAGATTGTTAAATGATAAATTACATGCCTGAAAACAGGACTTAGGCATTTGGAATATGCCCATGCTATGTAAAACCTGCATAGATATACTTAATCCTTTTATTTTGTTTCTAGGTTTGGAGAACAACTTCACACAGTTCTAATCTGATTCTTTTCAAGGTGAAAGAAATAAAAAATACATTGTGCTGAATGATAGATCAGTACTGTACTTGCCTGTTTTAACAGCTTTATTTATGTTTGTCCTGTACATTTAAGTAATTAGTTAACACAGAGATGTCAGTTGATTGTATGTAAACTTATAATTGTAGTAATGTATTTGTATAAATGTTGAACGGAATATTTTAGTGACTCGATGTCCTCTAAAATTTCCATGTTTTATGAAGATACTCTTAGAGGAGACAGACACTTTTTGCCTTTGGATTATTTAAACATCTTGTAAAATTAAATTTTCTTTTCATCTTAAGGGTGCATGCTGCCTTATTCTTTACTTTTGTTGGTAATACTGTATATGACATTAGCTTTTTTGATATTTAAACAGCCTCATACACCTACGCAGACTTAAAGAAACATAACGAATAAAACTTGGTTTTTTGCCTTAAGTTTTGAAAAAAAATGTTTTTATAAATTTAAGATAAATGCAAAGATTATTTTTTAAATTTAAATTAAATCCACAGTTTGAAATCTGGGCTTGCAGTCTTTGCAGTGCAAATGTGGAAACACTGAGAAATTAAATTTTAAGGTTCAACTATCATTGAAGGTGACAGACATTCAAAAAGGAACTTGTTAAAACCGTTCATATCAATAAAAAAAGAGTTTGAAACTATGGTCTTCGCTCAGTGGAGTGAATGGCAAAATTACCTTTGGGGTTTTTTATAGACCGTTAACAAAGGCTGGATTTCAGACTAATATTTTTTTCTGCTTACTTAAGAAGTAACATCATGTTCTCCTTAAACTTTTTGCTATTCTTTGATAATAAAACTAGTTTGATAATTCAGTAACCGTAGAAATATCAGATTCTCCCACAAGAATCGCACAGTGGCTTCACAGATTAAAGCAGTTTCCTGTTGCATATAAAAAGAATCTTAGTATTTCTAATAGGGTGTTTGTGACTTGAAAATGCTCATTCTTTAATTTAGTCTTTAATTATAATTAAAGTCTCACAATTTCTTTAAATAATGAGTTAGAGTATGATTTTTTTTTTTTTCTGGTTACGCTTTCATTATGTGATATGCTGTCCTAGGTACATATCATCCATTGCCTTATGGGTAGTGCCAAAACTGATTTTTTTTTTTTTTTTTAAATACAGATTTTAAAACGAATAAGCTTCTATTTGTAAATAAGTTCATGGATGGTTGTCTTAAATGTATGTCATCTAGAAAACGTACCAAACTTGGAAATATGATTTTCTATAATTGTTAAAATATTTCAGGCAGCTACAGTACACCGTAAGTAAATAAGTCTTTGAACCTGTTGCTATTTTTCTATATTATCTTAGCATTTATGTTCTTAGAAATGTTCTAAGTATTTAAGTCATTCTGTTATTTAATTTTTAATTGTGTATGTGTTTCATTTAGGCCGCAGCTTGAGTAAAAGTTATCTGCACTTCTTATTCTTTAATGATTTGTTTGTTAGGTACAGAATTGCTAAATGCGTTTCAAGTGAAAGGTTAGAAAGGAGGTAACTTATTACTGGAGGTTGTTAAATATAGTCATACAGTGTGAGCTCTTTCAGCAGTTACGGTAAGCAATCTGTATATCCTGGGCTGCTTTTAATTGTGCTTTACAGTTCTGGATACATAAACTGATTTTAAATCTCATTGAACTATTTTGTGGAAATTGTATTTACACCTACGTTCAAGTTGGTTTTTGTACTTAATGTAAAACAAAAATTGGGATTAATCAAACTACATAAATAAATCTAAATTTTGTGCCTTGCTTGAAAGAAATGTTTTTCATTAAATGTGCTGATGGAAATCTTTTTTGCATCCATCCATTGCATTGCATACTTTTCGCATCTCCATCCTGTGGAGGTAACTAGGTAGTAAAAATGAGAAGATAGGAAGTCAAGAGTAAATCCAAAAACTTTATGCAAGAAACAGGAAAATGAGCATAAGTTGATGATTATTGGTTAACTCCCAAGTATATTTCCTTCACCTTTATTCCTAACACCTTCAATTGGAGAATTTTTGGAATTTTCATAGCTGGTGTTTTCAGAAGTATTTACATCTCCACACAGAACAAAGCTGTGAAATACTTTTGCATGCTAGTCTAGGCAGTTAACCTTGTACTTTCTGACTTGATGAGTGGACAGCGGGTGTGTTTCCTTAGAGATGCTCTCTACTGGTTGGTCAGTCTTTGTCCTCAGATGGAAGTTGTCAGCCTAGTCCACTGCTCTAGGAAAAGCTACCAGAAGCTTTACGCACACTTGGTTTTCACTGCAGTTGTGATGAGGCTGCACTCCATCCCTGCTCTGTCAGGAGGCTGCTGCTCAGTCAGGGCGCTGCAGGAAATGGAGGAAATCCTGCAGGTTCGCCACTGGGAAAGGCAGTCTTGTCCCTCAGCAACCTGAGCCTCTGTTCTCTTCTGCTTCTCCATTCCTCTCGTTTCTTTATGCCAAGTATCCAAGTACCTTTATGCAAATAGAAAAATCGTTTTTTTTTCTAGCCTTACACAAGGAAGCTCCCTGTACTAGCTTAGATATTTCTTCAGATTATTTTAAGTATTCTAAATGTAATATATGTAGGGAATTATAAGCTTACAGAGGCTTCTCCAGCCCCGTGGTCTTGTGAGCGTATTCTCTGTGGTCGAACTCTCAGTAAAACACAGCCATCATTAAACATGTAGTTATTTTAAAGGACAAATTAAAAATCAGGAAGTGTGGTTTGGAAAATTTCGCATTTGGCTTCATGTTGCTACCTATTTGGAGGAAGTTTGGTGTTAGATGTAGTAACTTAACTGAAACAGGGTTCAGGATCATAGCATGGGAGCAGCATAGCATTTGCTGGATTGCAGTTTCTGTTTCCGTGTGTGCAATTAGCAGCTTCGTGATTTAAATTCCACATGAAACCTTAGGGAGCAAAAGAGATCAATCTGCAGCATGCCGAACAGCATGGTGGCTAGTATGAAAGGGTAAATTTCTGTTCCAAATCAAGCAAAAAGGAAACCCTGCCATGATACTGGCTATCCTACTGTGTGGATGTCTCTTGAAGTTGTTACACTTCATATTAATAACTAAGAGCCCGTGGGTCAAAGAGTAATTCCAGGGTTGGAAACTTCAAATTTGTGACTATTTTGTTTTGAAAAAAAGGGTAGAGGGAGAACAAGTCATATGAGGAGCAGCTGAGGGAACTGGATTTGTTTAGTCTGGAGAAGAGGAGGCTGAGGGGAGACCTTATTGCTCTCTACAGCTACCTGAGAGGGGGTTGTAGTGAGGTGGGGGTTGGTCTGTTCTCCCAAGTAACAAGCGATAGAACAAGGGGAAATGGCCTCACATTGCACCAAAGGAGGCTTAGACTGGA